TGGTGGAGGTGCTGGAGCTGCTGGTTCCAGAGGTGCTTGTGTTGGAGGTACTAGAGCTGCTGGAGCTGGTGGTGGTGCTGCTACAGGAGGTGGTGGAGGTGCTGGAGCTGCTGGTCCTGGAGGTGCTCGTGCTGGAGGTACTGGAGCTGCCAGAGCTGGTGGTGGTGCTGCTGCTGGAGGTGCTGGGGCTGCTGGTCCCAGAGGTGCTCGTACTAGAGGTACTGGAGCTGCCAGAGTTGGTGGTGCAGCTGCTAATCGAGGTGCTGGAGGTGGTGGAGCTGCTGGTCTAGAGGTGCTCGTGCTAGAGGTATTGGAGCTGCTGGAGCTAGTGGTGCTGCTGCTACGGATGAGAGGAAAGGCGGGGGAGAGGAAAGGCGGATGAGAGGAAAGGTGGATGATAGGAAAGGCGGATAAGAGGAAAGGCGGGGGGTGTATATCTGGGGAAGTTGAGGTGAATAGGGAGATGGCAGTGCAGGGCAGTACCTTGGAGCACAAGATGCGATTCTGGTAGGCGTGCAGTAAGGAGGAAGGAGAAAGTGGGTGCATCCAACTGGCCTGTGAGCATATACGTTATCATGCCACATCAGCATACCACGTCAGCATGCCACCTCACTGCACCCAGCACATGCCTCCATTCAACTCACCATGCTGCCAGCAGGGCATAGTGAGAAACATTCAGCCGCATTGGAAGCTCTTAGGAAGCTTCCTCCTTCCAACCAGGCGGCGATACCAAACGCTTCTCCCCTTTGCCACCGGCGCCCTCTGATTGGTTGGGGGTGCTGCTGACGTGGCAGCAACCAATGCGGAGAGTGCAGCTGGGTGATAGTGGGGCAGGGGTGGTAGAGCTGTGGTGTTGCCAGCAGGCGTGGCACAAGTGGTCCAGGTGGAGGGGTGAGGATGAGGGGATGCAAAAACAAGGGAGGCATGAGGAGGGGGAGGAGAGGAGGTGGGCTGCCCTGGCAAAGAGGTGAGCTGCCTTGGCAAGTGCTGATGGCATGTACGTTGCAAAACGTGGCTTGAGCAGCGGCGGGGTGATGGAGGTGAAGTGAGAGAGCCTTTGGAGCGCCGACAGACGACGACTGATCCGACCCGGGTGAGAGCGCTGAAGAGGGTGCGTGGGGAATAGTGTGGGGAAGATCGTGGGGAAGATCGTGGGAAAGAGCGTGGGGAAGAGCGTGGGGAAGAGTGTGGGGAAGAGCGTGGGGAAGAGCGTCGGGAAAAGGAACAAGAGAGGGGCAGGAGGGGGATGAACAAGCAGGGGAAATGGAGGGGAAAAGGAGGGGGGATGGAGGGGAAAAGGAGGGAAGATGGAGGAGAAAGGAGGGGGACAGGAGCGTAAATGGAGTGGGTAGGGAGGAAAGAAGGGGGTTGAAAGGTGGGGTGAAAGGAGGGCGAACCGAGGGGGGAAGGAAAGGGAAAGGAGGGGATATGGGAGGCGAAAGGAGGAGAAAGGAAGGGAACTAGGAGAGGAGTAGTGGGGAGGGATGAAATGAGGGGAAATGAGGGGGAAAGGAGAGGGAAGGAGGGGGACGGAGGGGCGAAAGAAGGAGAAAGAGGGGGAAAAGGAGGGGGAAAGGAGTGAGAAGCAAAGGCGGGGAAAAGGCAGGGGAAATGATGGGGAAAGGAAGGAGAAAGGAGGGGTAAAGGAGGGGGGAACGAGGAGGACAAGAGGGAGAATGGAGGGGGGAAAGGGGGAAAATGAGGGGGAAAGGTGGGGGAAATGTTGGGGAAATGAGGGGGGTGGAAATGAGGGGGAAAGGTGGGGTAAATGGAGGTAGACAGGAGGCAGATGCCCACCCTCACCCAAGCTTACGCCCACCATCCTCATGCCAGCACTCTGTGCGACCTGGGCAGACAGGAAATGGGTGGACAGGTAATGGGCGGAAAGGAAAAGGGTGGAAAGGAAATGGGCGGAAAGGAAATGGGCGGAAAGGAACTGGGCGGACAGGAAATGGGTGGAGAAGAAGGGATTAGGAGGGATGAGCAGGTGGATTTGCATGAGGTGGTTTCAGTGCTACGCACTTACATCTTCTTGACACGCCTTGTACTCACGGCGCTGCTACGAATTTATGCGAGGTTCGTCATTCTCGCGCACTCACTGTGCGACCCGCGCTTGGCGGACGGTATTGGCGCCAGTGGCGAGTTGCGCAGCACGATCGGCGGCCCGCGCGAGCGCACAATGGCGGGAGCAAGCGCAAGTATACGCGCGCGTGATGGCGAAGCAGGCAGGGCAGGGGCGCTTGATAGGAGCGGGGCGGTGATCGGGTGTGGTAGTGTTGTGTGCTGGAATGGGCGAGCCACTTCGCATCACTCCGTACCACCGTCGCACGCATCCTTCAACCAGTCGTGGGGACCGCCAATGGCGCTGCCGCGTGAATACGCGCGCACCTCGTCAAGCGAGCACCTCATCAAGCACGCACCTCGTCAAACGCACACTGCTGCAGCTTCAGTGGCGTCTAGGCGGCTGCAGACGCGACTGGCGGAAGGGCGTTGGGCACACGCAGGCGAGGCGAGCAGCAGAAGCAACGCGCCTAACCATCGTCACACCTATCCATTGTAACACCTATCCATGAATCATCCCAAAAATGGGGAGGGGTGTTAGGTATGCTCGAAAATGTTAAAGCCTGAGTCTAGAATGGTAAGGGTTCAACTTCAAGATTCTTGAACTTGAGTTCGTAAAGAACAGGGTAACCAGGTTGAGAAAGGTTCTCCCTCACGACCCACCGAGAAGGGAGTTGGTGGGCCAGAAGGTGATTGGCCAAATGCTCCACAACAAAAACAACGACGAGCCTCGCCAGAAACAAACAAGAACAAGTATCACTGTTCACGCTTTCAGAACTTGAAACTCGAGAATGCCTTTCTAGACTCGTAGCATAGTGTGCTCTATAGCCATAGTTCTCGTTGTTAGCCGAGTGTAGTTACGCCCATCTCTGTACTATGCTAAGACTTTAGTAGCACATAGAGACTACCCTTCCCGCCGACTTTTCCGTGCATAATAAGTGCGATCTGGTAGCCAACAGCAAATCCAGAATTCCGCATTGATTGATCGCCATCGTAAAAAGCACTCGTCGCTACTGACGGTTATATCGCGTTAGCCGACACTCGCATAGCCAATAGCGAAATCGGCTATGACACCTCGATAGTCACTCCCGTCCCACACTCAATCCCTTCCCGCACTCAATCAAATCATTCACAGACTGCTGTCGCTCTCTCGCTTCCGTCATCCACACTCGCCGGAGGCACATGTCACTCTCTCAATCCTGTCACTCACTCATACCCGTCGCTCACACACTCCCGTCGCTCACTAACTCCCATAGCTCACTCATCGCAAAAACAGGGATGGTGGAGGGGTAGGTGTAGTTTTAGGTGCTTCGAAGTGTCAAACATATATGACATACTCTGTGTAGGCTGTAGTGGGGTAGATTGTATGGGGTACAACACTGCTAGTTTTTTGTACCCATCTCCTTGCTAGTTGAGTCATTCCTTGTCCTCTACTTTTCACATGGTTTTAGAGCAGGTTCCCTAGGGGGACCGTTTTTTTTAGGGCCCACCACAAACTTTTTTTTTCTGCCCTGCCCGAATCGCACTGTCGTGCTTGCCTACCCTATCACGCGCCTTACGCCTGCCTACCCGCGCCCTCGAGCGCCTGCCTACCCGCGCCTTCGAGCGCCTGCCTATACGCGCCCTTGCGCGCTTGCCAACCCACGCCCTCGAGCGCCTGCCTACCCACGCCCTTGCGCGCCAGCCTACCCGCGCCCTCGAGCGCCACCCTACCGCCCTGCCCTGCAGGCAGCGCGCGGGCCTGCCCTGCACCCGCGCAGCCGCCCCTGGACCCCGCGGCGCGGCCCCTGGACCTCGCGACGCGTCGCCCTGCTTGTCGCGACGCCTCTGCGGGACACGGGCGTCGCCTCTGCCACGTCGCGTCGCCCCTGCAGGACCCGCGCGTCGCCCCCCTGCCTCGTCGCGACGCCTCTGCGGGACCCGGGCGTCGCCCCTGCCTCGTCGCGACGCCCCTGCGGGACCCGCGCGTCGCCCCCGCCTCGCCGCGACGTCCCTGCGGGACCCGCGCGTCGCCCCTGCCTTGTTGCGACGCCCCTGCGGGGCCCGCGCGTCGCCCCCGCCTTGTCACGACGCCCCTACGGGACTCGCGCGGCGTCGCCCCTGCCCGCTGCGGCGCCCTGCCCTACCCCGCGCCCGGCGTCGCCCCTGCCCGCAGCGGCGCCCTGCCCTACCCCGCGCCCGCCCTTGGGACGGCCGCCCCTGCAGCATCCTGCCGTCGCGGCCCGGCCCCGCCCTACAGCAGCGGTTGTCGCGGACTGCCCCACCCTGCAGCAGCTGCCGTCGCGGCCCTGCCCTGCCCTGCAGCAGCTGCCGTCGCGGCCCTGCCCCGCCCTGCAGCAGCTGCCGTCGCGGCCCTGCCCCGCCCTGCAGCAACTGCCATGGAGCCCCTAGCCGCAGAGGTGGCCCCGCCCTGCAGCAGCTGCCGCGGAGCTCCCTGCCGCGGTCGCGGCCCCGCCCTGCAGCTTTAGCGGCCCCGCCCTGCAGCTGTAGCGGCCCGCCGTCGCCGGCGTCGTGCGCCTGCCCTTCCCACCACTGGTGAGCACTGCCCTGCCCGCGCTGCTACCGCTACTGCTGCTGCTATTGCTGTTACTGCTGCTACTGTTGCTACTACTGCTCCTGCTGTTTCTGCCTGCTCCTGGCGTTGCCAGATGCAGCTCAAGGGCAGTCCGCGTGAGTCCCTCACGCCCCAGCAGCTTCGTGAGTGGTACGCTCGTTGAGGTTGTCGGGGTGGCCGTAGTGGGAGTCATCCTGGAGTGGGTAGTTTGGGAGCATCTTGCAGTGGCCCGGTGCAGCTGCACCGTCGTCCGTGCGAGGCTCTTCCGCCCCAGCAGCTTCGTGAGTGGTACGCTTAGAGTAGAGGGTCACTGAGTACTGCTTGCTGCCCGTACGTCATTCGCACGGGTGTCCGGACTGGTCAGCCTTGCGGGACGCCTGGTCACATGGAGTCCCGCTACTTCGCCCGTCTGAGCGACGCTTGGCGTACAGAGTTTGGCGACGACGCTGAGCTCCCCGACTGGGTGGAGCTGCTTAGGCAGGAGGTAGATATCTTTGCTCTTGACTATGATGCTATTCTCACTGCAATGTATGCATTGTCTACTAGTGCCGAGGGAGACTGTCACCTATGTGTGCCGCCTGACCCCGGTATCCAGTCAACTGCTCTAGGTGCTGGTGCGTCTCCTGCTCCAGGTGCCAGTGAGGCTGCTGCTCTAGGTGGTCGTGCGTCTCCTGCTCCAGGTGTCGGTGAGGCTGCTGCTCTAGGTGCTAGTGAGTCTCCTACTCTAGGTGCTGGTGAGTCTGCTCTCTCGGGTGCAGCGCGTGCTGCTGTTTTGCACACCTTAACCTTTGACTCGGGTGCTTCCCGCTCCTTCTTTCGAGACCGCACCACCCTCACGCCGCTTAGTCGGCCGGTTGCAGTCTCCCTGGCAGACCCCTCTGGGGGTCCTGTCCTTGTCCACTACTCCATTGTCCTACCGTGTCCGGCGGCCCCGTGTGGCTCCCTGTCAGGTCTTTACCTCCCCTCGTTCTCTACGAACTTGGTGAGTGGTGCTGACCTACAGGATGGGGGGGTTGACCAGTTCACTCCTGCGACTCAGCGAGTGACCCACTGCACGTGTACTCGGACGGGCCGACACTTGGCCACGTTTACCCCTCAGCCGGGCTCGAGCCTGTACACACTGACTACCGAGTCTCCTCCGGTTGCTGCGTCTAGTCAGGTAGCTGCGTCAGGTCAAGTGTTTACTGCGGCGTCGCGGTTTGGTCCTGAGTCTGCTCCCTGCTTGTGTCGCCTCCTGTCCCACCAGACTCTCCTCTGGCACCACCGCCTTGGTCACCCCTCCCTGCCTCATCTCCGAGGCATGGCCTCCCGTGTCCTTGTCTCTGGTCTCCCCCGGACCCTCCCTCCCCTTCCTCCGGGCCTGCCCCTACCTGCGTTCCCTGCGTCAAGGGGCGGCAGCGCACCCCTCCTCACTCCTAGGAGTTTCCTCCGACAGAGGCTCCGCTGCAGACTCTCATAATGGACGTGTGGGGCCCAGCCCGCGTCCGTGGACAGGGTCACGAGCGTTGCTTCCTACTGATGGTTGATGACTACTCGCGTTACACCACAGTCTTCCTCTTGCGCCGCAAGGGTGAGGTCACTGAGGTGTTGATTGACTGGATCCGCGCTGCTCGTCTCCAGCTCTGAGAGAGTTTCGGCTCGAACTTTCCTGTTCTGCGTCTGCACCCTGACAGAGGTGGAGAGTTTTCCTCCGAACTTCTGCGAGCCTTCTGTCGTGCGGAGGGCATCTGCCAGACGTTCATGCTTCCGGCCTCTCCACAGCAAAACGGGATTGCTGAGCACCGCATTGGCATGGTCATGGACGTCGCTTGTACGTCCATGATCCATGCGGTTGCTCCCCATTTTCTGTGGCCGTTCGCAGTTCAGTACGCGGCGCATCAGATCATCCTTCACCCCCGGGTCTCCATGCCGGAGACCTCCCCTACTCTGCGGTGGACGGGGAAGGTTGGCGATGCGTCTGCGTTCCGTGTCTGGGTATCTCGAGCTTTTGTGCGCGAATTATCTGCGAACAAGCTGTCCTCCCGTGCTGTTCCTTGCATCTTCCTTGGCTCCCCCCTTGACGCGCCTGGTTGGCAGTTCTACCACCCCACCTCGCGCCGTGTTCTGTCCTCCCAGGACGTCACGTTTGACGAGTCGGTTCCTTACTACCGTCTCTTCCCCTACCGCGCTGCCCCCCTCCCCCCCCCCGCCGCTCTTCCTCGCGCCAGGTCCCCCCCCGGTAGACCCCCTCCGCCTTCAGGGTCCTGCCCCCTCAGGTGTGTCCCAGGTAGACGCAGTCGAGCCTCTCGAGGTAGCTGTTGACTCTGATGCTGCTAGGGGTGCTGAGCCTGCGGGTGCCGAGTCTGGGGGTGCTTAGCCTGAGCGTGCGGAGTCTTGGGGTGCTGGGTCTGGGGGTGCTGAGCCTGGGGGTTCTACGTCTTGGGGTGCTGAGCCTGGGGTTGATGAGTCTGGGGGTGCGAAGCCTGAGGGCGCTGGGCCTGCTCGTGTGGAGTCTGGTGGTGCTGGGCCTGGAGGTCCTTCCAGTGCTTCGTCCCGGCGGGAGCTACCTTCTCCCCAGGAGCTGCGCAAGTGGTTTGCTGGCGCTGGAGCCGTGCTGCTGCAGCTGGTGGTGCTGCTGGCGCTGGAGGTTCTGCTGCTGCTGGAGGTCCTACTACTGCTGGGGGTTCTGGAGCCACGGGTCCCGGAGGTGCTCGTACTGGAGGTACTGGAGCTGCTGGGCCTGGTCGTGCTCCTCGTGCTGGAGCTGCTGGCGGTGCTGGCGCTGGAGGTGCTGCTGGCGTAGGTGCTGCTGGAGGTACTACTAGAGCTGGAGCTGCTGTGTCTTCCGGTGGTCCTGCTGGAGCTGGAGCTGCTGGAGGTGCTGGAGCTGGAGGTGCTGATGGAGCCGGTGCTCTTGTGTGTGCTGGAGTTGGCGCTACTGGAGAAGCTGGTGGTGCTGCTAGAGCTGGTGGAGCTGCTGGAGTTGGAGCTAATGCTGGGGGTGCTGGTGCTGTCCCTGCTGGTTCTGGGGGTGCTCCGCGGCTGCGGCCGTACTTTGTTCCGCTCCTTGAGCAGGTTCTTGGTCTCCCGCCTTCTACTGGTCCTGCTCATTCCTTAGAGTGTCCACCGCCTGTCCAGTCCGAGTCACAGTTACAGCTGGCCTCCCCTATGCCTGCTGCTTCTCCGTACACTGGTCCTACTGGAGGTCTTGCTGAGCATCGTAAGCCTGAGTCTCGTCCTGCGTCGCCTCTTCGTGCTGCTCGCACTGGTCGTCGTGTTCTGTGTCAGCGTCCTCCTGCGGTCTTAGGCACGCACCAGATGGCACTGCGTCCTTCCACTACTCCACAGCGTGTCCCGTTGCCGTCTCCTCCAGAGTCCTCTCTTCCTGCTCTTGCTGACCCGGAGTCTGACTCCCTTCATGCTGCCAGTCCTACTGTCACGCGTCTTCTGGCTACTGTTGTTACTGACCCTTCCTTTGAGTCCACTGCTGCGTCAACCTTAGTTGCTGAGCTTGTCGACTTCGCTGCTCACTGTCGTATAGACAACACCGTGAGTCTTGTTGCTGAGTCTGAGTCTGTCAGTCCTTCGTCCGTCGGGGGTGAGTGTGCTCTTAGCACGGACGTCCTTGAGGACAGGCAGGAGGAGTTCCAGTATTTTGCTGCTGCTTTACCTCATATCGTGTCCATGCTGCTTGCCCTTGAGGGAGACCCGGATGCACCAGGCATCCCGACCCCACGCTCTTACGTAGAGGCGATACAGGGTCCCTACTCCTCTCAGTGGTAGACAGCCATGGACGCAGAGATGGCTTCCTGGAAGTCCACAGGCACCTACGTCGACGAGGTTCCCCCACCTTGGGCGAACATCGTCAGTGGCATGTGGATTTTCAGGGTGAAGCGGCCGCCGGGTTCTCCGCCTGTCTTCAAGGCGCGTTACGTGGTACGTGGCTTCAGTCAGCTGCAGGGAGTTGACTACTTTCAGACCTTCTTTCCCACCCCGAAGATGACCACTCTTCGGGTGCTGCTACACATAGCCGCTCAGAAGAGACACACGTGCACAGACCTGGGTGAACTGCGCAGCTACCTTCAGTGCAGCAGGTCCTTCAGCGCTTCAACTTCACGTACTCCTCGCCTCAGGCCACTCCTCTGTCTACTCGCCACTCGATCTCAGCTCTGCCTTCGGATGAGTCCGTAGAGCCGAGTGGCCCGTACCGAGAGCTTGTTGGCTGCCTCATGTACCTGATGACTTGCACTCGACCTGACTTGGCATACCCTCTTAGCATCTTGGCACGCTATGTTGCTCATGGGAGACACCGACCAGAGCACATGGCTGCAGCGAAGAGGGTGTTGCGCTACTTGTGCAGTACATCGGGCATGGGGCTCGTGCTTGGAGGGCGGAGTCCAGTGGTTCTCACTGGTCACGTAGACGTGTCTTGGGTTGACGACTTGGCTACGCATCAGTCGTCACAAGGTTACACCTTCAGCCTTGGTTTTGGCTCTGTCTCGTGGCGGTCTACCTGCTCGTCTTCTGTTCTCAGCTCCAGCTGTGAGGCTGAGATCTACGCAGGGGCCATGGCTACACAGGAGTTACGCTGGCTCACCTACCTGCTGACTGACCTAGGAGAGCCGCCTCGTTCTCCTCCAGTTCTGTACGTAGACAGCAAGGCCATGCTGGCCTTGTGTCGGGAGCACGGACTGGAGCACAGAACGATGTCAAACATTATATATGTTGTTGTAGTTGTTTAGGCTACAGTGGGTTAGCCTATAGGGGGTACACATTCCTAGGTTTTGATACTTGTACTCATTTCACTCTTAGTTCATTCATTCTTGTTCAACATGGTATAGAGCAGGTCCTTCCTAGGACCGATTTTTTTAGGGCCCACCACTACCTACCTACCTACCTGCGCCCTAGGGCGCCTCGACTTTCACGCCCCTAGAGGCCCCGTCGGCCCCGCGCTCTCGCACCTAGAGGCCTCGGTCGGCCCCGCGCTCGCTATTAGAGGCCCCGAATCGGCCCCGCGCTTACCCCTAGAGGCCCGTGTCGGCCCCGCGCTCGTCCTTACCGGCCCCGATCGGCCCCGCGCTCGTCCCTCACGGCCCCGATAGGCCCCGCGCTCGCCCTTACGGCCCCGATTGGCCCCGCGCTCGTCCCTCACGGCCCCGATAGGCCCCGCGCTCGCCCTTAGCACCCACGTCGGCCCCGCGCTCGCCCTTAGCACCCACGTCGGCCCCGCGCTCGTCCCTCACGGCCCCACCCGCTCCCCGCGCTCGCCCTTAGCGGCCCCGAACGGCCCCACCCAGACCGAGCAGCCCGAACCGAGCCGACCCGAGCCGCCCAGCCCTTACGGAACCGAGCCGCCCGACCCGAGCCGCCAGCCCTAACCGACCCGAGCCGCCCGAACCGAGCCGCGCCGCCCGACCCGAGCCGCCCGAACCGAGCCGCGCCGCCCGACCCGAGCCGCGCCGCCCTACCTATACCGAGCCGCGCCGCCCTACCTGTACCGAGCCGCGCCGCCCTACCTACCCTACTGCTCCTACTGTTTTTCCTACTGCTGCTACTATGGCTAGCCCTCCTGTCCTAGCCTTCGATACTGAGGGCCGCCCAGTGAAGTTCGACACCTGGCTTGATGACCTACACCTCTTCCTACAGCTCACTGCCAAGGAAGACATCTCGCTGTACGATCATGCCTTAGGCCACGCTACTGCTCCTGCTGCTACTGCTGACAGCACTGCCCGCTCACAGTGGCAGACTCGTGACGCCCATACTCGCTTCGCTATTCGCAACTCTCTGCCGATAGATGAGCGCGAGCACTTTGGGCAGCACAAGACTGCACAGGCACTGTACACTGCTGTCGTTGCCCGCTACTCCTCGCCGGCCTCTGCCGCTCTAGGCCGTCTCTCTCTTCCCTACCTGTTCCCCGACCTAGCTTCCTTCCACACTGTCGCTGATCTCATTACCCACCTCCGCACTAGTGAGGCTCGCTTCCGCGCCGCTATGCCTGATGAGTTCCTTGCCAAGAACCCACCCCCGCTCTGGCTCACTCTCTACCACCTAGTCACGCGCCTCCCTAACACTCTGCGCTCAGTCAGGGACCACTTCCTAGCTCGCTGCCCCACCGAGCTCACCATTGCCTTCCTCGAGAAGGAACTGCTTGCAGCTGAGGCTAGCATAGTCGCTGTAGGTGCCTCTCGCGGTGACCCCCGTACCCCGTTCTTTGAGGGGTGTTCTCCTTCCCCCCTTCTTCCCTCTGTCGCCTCTGCTGCTGGTGTCGACCTCCTTGGTGCTGAGAAGGTCGGGACTGCGTCTGCTTTGAGTGGGCGCCGCAGCGGCAAGGGCAAGGGGGGCAAGGGCGGTGGTGGTGAAAGCGGGGGTGGCGGTGGTGGGGGAGGTGGTGGTGGCGGGGGGGGTGGCGCTGGTGGGGGAGGTGGCAGCAGTGGGGGGGGTGGCGGCAGCGGCGGGGGAGGTGGCCGGGGCGGAGGAGGTGGTGGGGGTGGCGGTGGACGAGGCAGCGGCCGGGGTTGGGGTGGTCGAGGAGGTGGTAGCGGCGGTGGTGGTCGTGGAGGCACTGGCGGTGGCCAGGGCCAGCAGCACACTCCGTCGCCCCAGGAGGTCCGTGAGTGGTACTCTCAGCACGGGGGGGGGGGGGTGGCCTTAGCTGCACGTACGTCATTCGCACTGGTGACCGCACTGGCCAGCTGTGTGGGGGACCACACGCCACACAGCGTTGCTTTGCTCGTCTGAACGACGCTTGGCGTGTTCAGTTCCCTCAGGCCACTGAGCTGCCCCGCTGGGTTGATCTCCTGAAGAAGGGGATTGATATTTATGCTCTAGACTTTGATGCTATTCTTCCTGCCATGTATGTGATGTCTACTAGTGGAGAGGGTGCTGAGTACCTGAGTGTCTCGCTGACCCCTCTGGGGGTCCGGTCCTTGCGACCTCCTCCACTGTCCTTCCCTATCCTGCGGTCCCGTCGGGCACACTGTCAGGTCTCCACCTCCCCTCGTTCTCTACGAACTTGGTGGCAGGTTGTGCACTACAGGACGCGGGTGTTCACCAGTTCACCCCAGCCTACGAGCGTGTCACACACTGCACGTGTGCCCGTACAGGCCGCCACTTGGCTACCTTCACCCGGCAGCCGGGGTCGGATCTGTACACACTGACTACTACCCCCCCTCAGGTCGCTGCGTCTGCGTCTGCGTCCGCGTCAGGTCAGCTGTCCGCCCCCTGCTCGTGTCGCTCTCTAGCGCACGAGACTGTCCTCTGGCACCACAGATTGGGCCACCCGTCTGTGCAGTGCCTTCGTGCCATGCACTCCCGGTACCTTGTCTCTGGTCTTCCCAGGGTCCTCCCTCCCCTCCCACCCTCGCCGGCTCCTCCCTGTCTTCCCTGTGTCGAGGGGCGGCAGCGCGCCGCTCCTCACTCCTCCTCGTTTCCCCCGACGACTGCTCCTTTGCAGACGCTCCACATGGACGTGTGGGGCCCAGCCCGCGTCCGTGGTCAGGGTCAGGAGAGGTACTTCCTGATCGTTGTTGACGACTACTCGCGCTACACCACGGTCTTCCCCTTGCAAGCCAAGGGTGAGGTCCCTGATGTTTTGATCCCTTGGATCCGCAGAGCTCGTCTCCAGCTCAGCGAGCGTTTCCGCTCGGACTTTCCTGTCCTGTGCTTGCACTCTGACAGAGGTGGTGAGTTCTCCTCCGACCTCTTGGCAGCCTACTGTGCTGAGCACGGCATTGAGCAGTCGTTCACGCTTCCGGCCTCTCCACAGCAGAATGGAGTTGCGGAGCGCCGCATTGGCCTGGTCATGGAGGTCGCTCGTACCTCCTTGATCCATGCGGCTGCCCCCCACTTTCTGTGGCCGTTTGCGGTCCGGTACGCTGCGCATCAGCTCAACCTCTGGCCCCGTGTCTCCTTGCCGGAGACCTCGCCCACACTGCTGTGGACGGGGGAGGTTGGCGATGCGTCGCGTTTCCGGGTCTGGGGATCTCGAGCTTTTGTCCGCGATTCGTCTGCGGACAAGCTCTCCTCTCGTGCTGTTCCCTGCATCTTCCTCGGCTTTGTTCCGGACGCGCCTGGTTGGCAGTTTTACCACGCCACCTCGCGCCGGGTCTTGCCCTCTCAGGACGTCACTTTTGACGAGTCTGTCCCCTACTACCGCCTCTTCCCCTACCGCACTGCCCCGCTCCCACCCCTGCCTCTCTTCCTCGCGCCAGGTGCTGCTGTCGTAGACCCCCTCCCCCCTCAGGGTGCCGCTCCCTCAGGTGTGTCTCAGGTAGACCCGGTCGATCCTGTTGAGGTTGCTGACGACTATCGTCCTGCTGGGGGTGCTGAGCCTGGGGGTGCGGAGACTGGGGGTGCTGAGCCTGGGGGTGCTGACTCTGGAGGTGCTGAGCCTAGGGGTGCGGACTCTGGGGGTGCTGAGCCTGGGGGTGCGGACACTGGGGGTACTGAGCCTGGGGGTGCTGAGCCTGGGGGTGCGGTGACTGGGGGTGCTGAGCCTTGCGGTGCTAGGCTTGAGGGTGCTACACTTGGACGCGACCTCTCCTCGGAGCAGTTGCGTGAGTGGTACTTACATTACTGCAGCCTCCGGAGTGTTACCTCTGGGACCAGGCGCACTACACGGACTGGGGCTGGTACTTCTCCTCCTAGTCGGGAGCTCCCCTCTCGTGAGCGGATCCGTGAGTGGTACGAGTGCCGTTCCACACTTCGGAGTGGTGCGCCTCGTCTCACGGACCCGCCTGCCCCTGGTGCTACGGACCCGGGCGTTGGAGCTGCTGCTGGTGCTG